CCAAATGTGTCTGTATCCTAGCATAATTCTGGCCACGACTACATCACATTGTCTGGTTTTGTCCTTATGCTGGCCATACCGTTACCTCTTGTCACAAAATTTTTCATATATACTAAAGCTATAACTGCCAGGTCTCTGCATTTCTCAGTTCTTCTAGAACAGAGTTCATGATTCTGACTTGAATGTTTTTAATTACAGCATTGGACAGGCCAAGGTCACGGTCAACATTTTCTTTCTTACCCATAGATAGGACTCGGGATGCCTGTGGCGGGCAGTATCCGCCCAACTCCCTTTGAGTGTACACATTAGCGATACTGGCTGTTAAGTTGAGCTATAAGCCCGCACACGTGAGTGAAAGAACACTGTGATTATTGGTATTATGGTGAATTGTTGGGAACTACATATGTGCATAGTGTAAGGCAATTTGAATAGTGTATCTACTAACGGACGTATATTGTATGCATGTAATAGAATGTAATCAGCAGAAACGAGTGTCTCATTCTTTACAGGTTTTGACCACGTTAACCAATAAACAATGAGTGCGTCCACGTTGTGGGTTTCTCTCACCCTTAAGACGTGACGTCATCTAACTGTCGAGCCAGTCGGCAGTTAAACTGTATGTATCGTTTCTCACTCTTGATTTGTTTATTTTTTCCAGTTATGTTCTTTTTTTATCAATTTATAATTTTTCGCCGCCCAGGCCCCAATGTGGATCGGTGATCTGTGCCTGGTTTTTTTTTTTTTTTACGGGGATTAGCCCACATCGGGGCCGGGGGGTGGGGTGGGGGGAATATAATAATAACAATAAAATTAATAATAATAATAATAATAATAATAATAATAATTATTATTATTATTATTAATATTATTATTACCGGTATTCATAGTAAATTAAATTTATAATAAATTAAAAACAAAATTGAAAATAAAATTATAATAATAATAGTAATAATAATCATAATAATAAAGAACCATAAAGAAATACAAAAAAAGACCAAAAGTGAGAAACAATATACAGTATGTATGTTGTGTTGTCAATAGTAAGAGAAACAATTGAGACACTGCAATTGTGTGTAAATGAGGCAGAAAGTCGGATCAGCAACCCGGCACTTGGTCACAATTTTCGTGATGCCATATGGTAGCAGTGTCTATCATTAGACAACACATTATGCTTCCAATATCTTCCCAGGCGGTAGTACCTCTCTGTTTGGTAGCTACCTACTACCTACTACAGGCTAATCCCTGTAAAAAAAGAAGTGTTGGATGATGAACCATAAAGAAAACTTCACAGGGTCAGAAACAAAGTACAGTAGAGAGATACATAGAAATCATAAGCAGAATACCAAAATTGTAAAATTGAAGAACTAAAGAAATCCGCTATAGCTGTAACAACTGCCAATCCCTTGGATATAGCCAAAGTCGAAAAGATTAGTCCAGCATAGTGCTAAATATTGATAATGAACTCGGCCACGGTACATCTGAATTAATAAACTGTTTCAACTCCTTTACAAGTAGCCTCATTATTTGCTAGAAAATTATCTACTGTCTTAATTATTCACCACCAATCACTATCGTTTGGTACGCTAGTGATCTCCAAGATTCAAATACATTTCCTCACAAGTGGTGTCACGTGGGCCATGAACCTATTTTTCGTGTAATTATTATATAAAAAAAACCTATTATGAACACTATTTACAGGAGATGGCTGACTGGGGAAATACCTCACTATTACTTGTACACTCGCATACCACCTGTGTTAAATCCACTTAGAAATCAAAGGGATTATACTCAGGGCTGCTGCTTGCCTGACTGTCTTTCCTGGCACTTGCTTGTGGTTCATGTTTTTGTCCGATGTGGTCACACACACACATTCACCACTTCTGGGACAGAGGTCTTTGACTTGTTTATAGCCACTAACATCATAAATTTTAAAATCTATACCTCTCCTGTACACTATAATTCTCATAAATTAACGTAACTGGGGTTCAGGCGCCAGTTTTACACAAAGCAGTCTGTAGACAACAGCGTGGAGTGTGGCATCTCCTGTTTTAAAACAACAATACAGTGAGTTTGTGTAACTATGCCAGCTAACTGTTCAGTTTTGGGCTGTTTTAATTTGGAATTCAAGACAGCAGGTTCTGATATTCGCTGCCATAGTACTTTATAAGCCTCGTGTATCAGTGACTCATATCCGCCACCCAGTAGCACCAGAGTTCTTCCGTGCCATGTTTTCTCTTTTCGGTGGTGTTCAACAGCTTAACCTCTATTAATGTTGTCACCTTCTTATTCCACTTTCTTATAGATTTTATTTTACATTAGTTTTATTCAGACGTCACAAAGACCCATTTCAGCAGAATATCAGAGATAATAGCCACAAGGAAAAGAATTACAGATGTGGCTAAACGTCACTTCTCTCCTCTTATGACTCACCTAATCCATACCGTACTATAAATGCAGTTCGGATCTTCCTTGGTTCTGGCGTTTTGAGGGAAATGGTAATGAAAGGACATTTAAAACGTCATTGTATTTCTTAGGTCTAAAACAAACAATCCCAACAAGCACTAGCTGGTTCAGATTAAATTTTATGAATTCATGTAAATAATTTATAAGTACTTCTAAGCTGTGTACAAAATACTAAATCACATTTTCCATTAATGTGATTCTAATGTTTTTTCTGAGATTTTTATAAAGTTAATTCGTATGTTAAAATAGTCCCGATTATAGGAACTACTCCAAAATACTAATTCACATACAGCACGGTGCAACGTTAACTACAGTAATTCAGTTAGTCAATTAAATAATGTAAAGTGTTTTTTATTGTAGGTGTTTAATTTACATGTACCGAGATTATTTGTACAAGTTATGAAGCATAAATAAATAATTAAAATAAAAACTTAGACCAATATTATTTTTATAACCATACAATAATTTGCGTAAATGAACATATCAGGAAAGAGTTACATACGTACATTTATCTCTGATTCAACTAAGAAAGTCAATTAACTACACACAAAAAAACAATATTTATGATTTTTTTTTAAATATTATTTACATGTCAGGTACAGATCTTAAAACTCTAGGAACATACATCTTTTACAAAAATATTTACGTTATAATGTGTTACTGCACTTCCCATTCACATTTTGACATTGATTTTTTTTTTATTTTGCCGCTTACAGCGGCTACTTTATTGTGCACCCCACACTCATCCTGTGAGCGGTAGCGCAAAAGGATTACAGAGTAGGGTTTACAACGGGTCTTAATAATTAACCTCCGTGGTCATTATTTGTTTAGTTCTATACATAAAGGGTAACTTATTCACAAATGCGTGAGTACAGGCGTGTGAGACAGTATGTCTGGCCTCACACTTTGTTATTCACATTTGCGTGAGAAGTATTCAAACAAATTGTGTATTTGGTTCTATACATGAGAACTGATATAGATACTAAGTGCATAAAAGTGGATACAATCTTAATATGTCGGCTATCTTGCCATTAGAGATAAAGTGTTGTGCCATTGCTTGGACCTGTCCCTAAACGGTTGTATCTTCACACAGTCGAGGACGTAGTGGTCAAGTGTGTGGCTATATGTCTGGCCATACACTTTACATTTAGTCTTGTTTACATCTGCTTGAGGAACATACTGCCAGAGGTACTTATATCCTAACCTTAACCTAGCGGTTACAACATCTAGCAATCTAGTGATCTTGTTACTTGCTCCAAATACATGTTTCACTACTGGTGGGCTCGTTAGCCGCTTACCGTAGGCGGTTGGTCACGCGTCTGTTACTCACTGTTGGCAAGTACTGGGCCTGCACTGGCTCCTGAATGTATCTGAACCCGCTCCAGTATCAAGTCTGGTCTTGAAAGAGCTCACACTCGGTGCCGTCACAACATTCTCTGACAGGTTGTTCCAGGAGTTCACTTTTACTTTTACTTTTATCTTCTTCACCACTCATCGGCTCGTTAACCTCTTGGGCGATCGGTCACGTCTCTGTTACTTTTCCTTTTCTTTTATCCTCTTCAGCAAATGATCCGCTCGTTAGCCGCTTGGGCGATCGATCACATCTCTGTTACGCACTGTTGGCAAGTACTGGGCATGCACCGGCTCCTGAATGTACCTGAACCTACTCCAGTGTTGGTCAAGTCTTTTCTTGAAAGAGCTCATACTCGGTGCCGTCACAACACTTTCTGGGAGATTGCTCCAAGAGTTCACAACTCTCACTCCGAAAAAGTTTGCCCTCACAGTTTTCTGAACTTGTGGCTTCTTCAACTTTGAGCTGTGACTCCTTGTGGGGTGGGCGTCCGCCAGCTCCAGGTATGGACACTCGAATGAGTAGTGTCCTTTGAGATGTATATATACACCTCAATTAGGTCACTCCTTTCCCGTCTGTAGTATAAGGTAGGCAGTTTCAGGCGTTCTAACCTCTCTGGTTAACCGAGGTACCGAAGTGCAGGCACCAGTCTAGTGGCCCTCCTTTGGACATTTTCAATCAACTGACAGTATCTAGCATATCTCGGGGATCAGACAGGGTGACAACTGAGGCCTTTTGGTTGAGTACACTTCGCTAGATAATACACTGGGCTATGTGTATCTCTGACTGCTAGGCAAGTGTCTGCGCTAGGCTGTTTTTATTACAGCTACGTGAACACTATGCTTTTACTACAATGGTTTGTGAAGCTATCACTGGTCTCCTGGTGCAGAGACATTTTTCTACACTATTTTTTTTCTAATCACATTCACTGTTTCAGTTCCGACACTCAAAGAATCATGTTTTGTTCACGTTTGTCTGAAGAATATTGTTGCCCTAGAGGCCTAGATTGTACAAAGTAACTGCGTGCGACGTAGTGTGAAGGCTGTCCATAAGGTACTTCATGCACAGGCTGTCCAACTACACCCACAACACCCTATATACCTTGTCTGTTGGCCATGTTATGTGCAGGCTGTCCAGCTACAACACTTTGTGTAGGTTGTCTGTTGGTCATACTATATACAGGCTGTCAATCTACAACACCCTGTATAGGCTGTCTGTTGGCTATGTTAGGTGTAGGCTGTCCAGCTACACCTTGTGTAGGCTGTCTGTTGGCCATGCTATATACAGGCTGTCCAGCTACAACACCCTGTATAGGCTGTCTGTTGGCCATGCTATATACAGGCTGTCCAACTACAACACCCTGTATAGGCTGTCTGTTGGCCATGCTATATACAGGCTGTCCAACTACAACACCCTGTATAGGCTGTCTATTGGCCATGTTATGTGCAGGCTGTCCAGCTACAACACCATGTACAGGCTGTCTGTTGGCCTTGTTATGAACAGGCTGTCCAACCACAACACCCTGTGCAGGCTGCCTGTTGGTCATGTTATGTACGGGCTGCCCAGCTACAACACCCTGTGCAGGCTGCCTGTTGGTCATGTTATGTACGGGCTGCCCAGCTACAACACCCTGTGCAGGCTGCCTGTTGGCCATGTTATGTACAGGCTGCCCAGCTACAACACCCTGTGCAGGCTGCCTGTTGGCCATGTTATGTACAGGCTGCCCAGCTACAACACCCTGTGCAGGCTGCCTGTTGGCCATGTTATGTACAGGCTGTCCAACCACAAAGCCCTGTGCAGGTTGCCTGTTGGCCATGTCATGTACAGGCTGCCCAACCACAAAGCCCTGTGCAGGCTGCCTGTTGGTCATGTTATGTACAGGCTGTCCAATCACAACACCCTGCACAGGCTGCCTGTTGGTCATGTTATGTACAGGCTGTCCAAACACAACACCTTGTGCCGGCTGCCTATTGGCCACGTTTCCTGGCTGTCCAACCACAACACCCTGTACAGTCTGCATGAAAGGTAAGTTCTGTTCATGAGGCACACCTTGCATAGGTTGTTTGTGCGGGACATTCTGTACAGTTTGACCTAGAGGCATATTCTGTGCAGGTTGTCTGGAGGAAAGGCTCTGAACAGGCTGAGGTTGGGAGACTCTGTGAACAGGCTGTGAGCCATAGAGGTTTCTAGGGTCGAAGTTTTGATGCTGGTCCTTGTTGAGCAGGGAAGCCTCCATCGTCCTTTTCTGTGGCGCACAGTATATACTCCTCACTTGTTCCACAGATAAGCTGATGTTGCCTATTGGACTTGCAGGTGGCAATTGAAATGGGGATCTGCTACTGCAGATGCAAGAAGGGGCTTCGTTGTAACATTTGGGGTGATGGCCTAACACTGCTCGGTCCATTGTATTTGATGGCAGTGTGAGATACAGCACAAACCTGTGCAACTCCGGGTCCTGTTCGACACTGACACCGTCGGCAAGTTGGCTAAAGTTAGAGGTAGGATGTCGTACGTACACTGTGCTACGTTCTGTGTGCAACTCCGGTGTCTTGCTCGCTCTGACGCCCTCGGTTCGAGGTGGGATATGTCGCGTTACGTTCTGTGTGAAGTTCGTTTTCTAACTAACAAGTTTACATCGTGTCTCGCCTACTTAGGGCGAGTAGTAGCAATAACAGGATGTAGTCTGACGTCATGAACGTTGTTAAATAGATAAACGGACCTCACTCAGTTCTTGTTTGATATCAACTTTAAATTGTACTTGCATATTGTATGCAGAAAGCTCCCTAATATAAGCGAACAAAATAATTTTATATAAGTTCCATAAAACAGGGACAAATATTGGCCACCTAATTATACACTAAATAAATATACTTCAAATGAAAAAAAAACACGCAGATGAAGAATGTAAAGTCACTAAAGAAAAAGACTGAAACAATAGTACACAGAACTATGTATTGAATAATGCAAAAGTGAGAATCCAACCCATTAATATGGAGTCAAATATTATTAATTAATCAGATGAGAAGCTGGAAATGCAAACTTTAAGCCCCTGTCAAGAATAAAAGTAATCGTAGTAATATAAATTGAAGTTAAAATGTTAGTGTACCACTTGTTTAAGCAACAAAGAATGGAAGGCATTGACGTCACGGGGACTCGCGGCTTACTAGTGCTACAAGGAAAAAACGATCAAGTAGCTATACCAGGAAGAAAAAATATTAAATGCGTTTCATGTTTATCTGTCTTTAGCTACTTAATCGATCCACAAACATTTAAAACCTCTCTCTGTCTAACTATCTTATCTTAGTCCCATTTTAAAGCAATCTTAGCATTGTTTTACCTTTATTTCAAGAGAGTACATGAGAATACTACAAGGAAAATTCTGAGAAAAATCTTGGCGAATCTTGTTTAGTTGTTTAATTCGTGTGTCAAAGTAATTACTTAAGAAAATAATATTCTAATTTTTTTCTTTTCCTTAAATTTATAGAATTAAAAAATATCAGTTGTAAATGAAGTATTTAGTTTATGTCGAGGGGCTGGTTTGTTATGAATAACACTGAGCCTGACGTCATTCCTCCATTCATTCCCCTCCCTCGCATTTTCCAATAATATTTTCAAATACTTCTTTTTCCTATGAGCGTGTTTGTTCAAAATAAAAACGTATTTTTTCGTTTTATTTACGCCTATGAAATATAGCGAACTTATAATATTTTTTTCTATTCGCTTACTATCTGTAAATTAAGTATAAATAGATTGTTTACAACGTTTTGGAAAACTTTAGTCATTGTAGGCGGGTTAAAGACGTTAACACCATACCTTTTAGTGATCATATCTTTGGTTTAGTACAAACTATTTCTGTTACAACGAATGATCTGAATCCTCAAAGCAGAGGTAAGTAAACTCATACATTATAATTTGCTCTACTTTTAAGTGAACTAGAATAGCAACCTAAATTAGAGCAGTGTTCAAGGCCAGGTGAATGGAAACTAGAACTGGTTCTCGGGAACTGATTCACAACTCGAGATCTACAGTGTTACTTGGATACACTGCACAGTTGCATTATCATTGCATCAACCCACACAGAGTATTAAAAGGGAGTGTTATGCATACCTCCACATAACTCTGTACTGGTTTACTTCATAGACACCAGGTCAGTGTACCTAGTTTTGGCATATTACAAATTAAACCTACTATATATATATATATATATATATATATATATATATATATATATATATATATATATATATATATATATATATATATATATATATATACAGAATATATATATATACATATAATATACAGAATATATATATATAAACTTTTTATGGTAACAAATACCATAGAAGGATGTAAAAATTGATTCATGTATGCTATTATGGAATTGTAACCGTTTATTTTGATCTAGAATTGTATGTGGTACTATTTGAAAGTCAGACTGTGTTAACCATGGCTTTTACAATTTTTTTTAATTTTAACATAAGGGAAAATTAGGTCAGGTTACCAAAGGTTTGATTGATTTTTTTTTATGTTTTTACCCCACAATTTCCCTCGTCTTTAAAGCCCTACCCACTTGTGCAAACCCTTGTTGTTGACAATGTCAGTGGTTGTATCTCCATAAATATATATCGGCACCAAAAAGAAAGGTCGTCAAAACATAAGGAAAGGTCAATTTATAGTCTTACACCGGTCTTTCTTTCACTGTTATTAATAGACAATTCTAAGACATTTTTCTTCTATGACATTTCCACCGGAAAATAAGGACATCCGATATATTAATTTTTCAATATTATTACATTCGCTCAGTTACAAGTTTCGCCATGTCTTGTTTACTTTTGGCGGAGTAGGTAGCATTGCACCGGTTTTTATTTTGATATTAAAAATTTGTTTTTCTTATGGTATTTGATGAGTTTTGAACGAATTTGATATTCATTTCCACTGGAAATAACTAGTTTTTGAGATTACCCCCCCCCCCCCGAATCATAACGGAATTACATAATTAAAAGTTAAAGGTGTAGAAGAGGGTGACCACCAGAAGGAATTGTCCGAATTGGTTGAAATTTTTTCTACACTAATATCATGATATTAAAAAAAATGGAAACAACAATGCATAAAACCTAACCTAACTGACCCAACCTAACTTAATGTAACATAACCTACTCAACCCAACCTGACTTAATGTAACCTAACCTATGTCTAACCTAACTGCCCCAGATTTCCTGGCTGACTGAAAGTAAAATACTACCAATTAACCTACCGTACCTATAGTAACTTGCAAAATTTCACTTGTTGCCACCCAAAGATTTGGGGGTAATCCTTGATGAGATGGTTAACACCAGGATGCGTTGTTCGATATTGTTAATTTTTCCACAGATGTTCTTTGGATGATATTAAGTAATAAAAATGATAGAGCAATGCTTAGAACCAGGAATGGAATGAATTCCTTTTTATTCAATTAACTGCAAATCATTTATGAAAATTAAATCATCAATCCAATTTAACTCAATTCATGTGCTTTTCAATTCCATTTCAAATCAATTATTTAATTTTCCTATTAAAAAAAAGTTTCATAACAATCATTTTATTTCCAAACAAATTGGCAACATACACTATACTGTCTACTACACACTAACAGATCATGTTAACTGTCACACAATTGTTCATATTTTTATTTTTATTTTCGTTTTTTTTTGGGCAGCAAAAATTTTTTCCTGGGGGCTTTTGTCATCCTGAACAAGCGGCAACGTTGCAGTATTTGAAACGCGGCACCACTGTACAATCAGCTAATGGCGGAGTTGGTGCCCTACCCCAACAGCAAGAATTCGTTCTATCTTGGCCGTGCTGGTTAGGTTAGGTTATTATTTGTTTGTATTACGTTGGAATACGCAATATTAAGCCAAGCATGAATGATTGTGTCTTATTCTCTCTTTCTTACGGAGTGTACAGTGGTGCCGCGCTTCAAACACTGCTACGTTGCCTCATGTTCTAGATGATGGAAGCCCTCAGGAAAAAGATTTTGCACCCGGGCACAGGTCACTAACCCATATCGGGGCCTAGGGGGAGCGAAAATGTAATAATAATAATAATAATAATTTATAATATAAATTTTTTAATAAAGTATAATAATAATAATAATAATAATAATAATAATAATAATAATAATAATAATAAAGACATGAAAAAAAGATCAAAAGTGAGAAACAATACAGTAGATGTTTGTTGTGTTGTCAATAGTAAGAGAAACAATTGAGACCCTGCAATTGTGTGTAAATGAGGCAGAAAGTTAGATGAGCAACCTGGGACTTGGTCACAATTTTTGCGATGCCATATGGCAGCAGTGTCTACCATTAGACAACACATTATGCTTCCAATATCTTCATCATATCACTTCCAATTCAATTCAGCTAATTTTAGAAATTGTTTCCTTCAATTCCAATTCATGCATTTTTCCAATCAATTCCAATTGAATTCATAATTGACCCCATCACTGCACAGAACCTAATAGAACCTGACTTAATCAACCAAAGAATCCTACCTAACCTGACCTAACATCCTAGCCTGGGGGGCAGACCCCCCTGCCCATATTAAACAAAGTACAGGTACTTACTTTGAGATCTGGTACCAATAAAAGCAACATTCTTGAAGTGGCGTAGTGCAATTTTATGTTTTTTGTGGACGTGAGAATATGCTTGGCCCGAGTGACCTGCTTGCTCTGAGCATAGAAAAATAAAGAGCAGATAAAACACGCCGGCATGGCAAATTTTTCGGCTGAATGTTTATGATAAACAATTAATTTCTTCGCGTACAAAGCATGTAGAGACGTCATTTTATTGTCATATGATCAGTTTTTTACCGTCTTTTACCCTGCAATGTCCCTCATCCTTCATAAACTGCCCACTACAGGAGATTTATGATCGTAGATAGATAAGAATTAAAAAATAAATATAAATAAATGCTTATAATTAAAATAAAAAGTTGTCGTGTAATTTTTATTGTTTACTATAATCCAAAGAACATTTCTTACAAACTCAAAGGAATGCTTATACAGTATACTGTATATAACTAATTTGCAAAGTTTATGTGTACAGCACATGTATATACCATAGAGTAGTGTAGAATGTATGGTGGAGCAGACTGCTAACACCAGAAGGAGTTGTTCGATTTTGTTACAGTTTTCCACAGATGTTCTTTGGATGATAGTAAATAATAAAAATAATGCGACTATGCTTAGACCCT